AAAAAAAAAAAAAAAAGAACTTTATTTGAAAAACAATATTTTTTTCGTTGTACCTATAGAATATGTACTACAAAGATATAGAGTGGAAATCATTCTCAAAATTAGAATTAAGCATCGATGGATGTTCAAGAAAATTAGCTGAAATAGAACAACTGAAGGAAAGTGCTAATTTAGCTAGGGAGGCCCTTAAAAACGAGGATAGTGATGATCTGAGAGAGTGCAAACAGGAATTTTACAAGAGAATGGAAGAATCGATGAACCAAGTACGCCCCAACCCATCACCCGCTTGGATGAAGAAAGGGAAGACACATACTACAGTAAAAGGAGAACTGCAATTTGCCCAGCCGAAGAAGACAACCCAGAAAGGGAAAACTCCGAATAGGAACCAGCAGAAAGAGAAAGATGAGAAGGTGAAAAATAGGAAAGAAAAAGATCCTGTACCCCCAATGGAGCATTCAACAAAAAAGAAAAATAAAATAATGTCTAGAGAGGAGTTGAAAGAACGACATGACGAAATTTTGTACAAAGAGATAAGCGAAGATGAAATGGATGAAATTTGGGATTTCATTAAGGCCAGTAATTACACAAATATACAAAGAAGTATGAATGCCGTTTATAATCAGGATGATAATTACGAATTGCCATATGGTTGTACGATGAGAGAGATTAGTGAGAAAATTACAGAAAATGATTTAAATTTGTGGATTGCAAAACTACCAAATGTTGTAATACCAAGGGACATGTTTATAATTTGGCATTATGTTCAGTCTTTTGGAAGAGATAAATATTTAAAGATGAATGGGGATTTGTGGAGAATGTGTGGGCATTTGCAGAAGGAATATAACATACCAAATGATATTAAAAAGAGAGAATGGCTAGAAGTCGCTGGATACCTGTCAAGTGAGTTACTGGAAAAGGAAAACAATGATTCTTTAGAGTTTAAAGAATTAGTTAAAAAGGGATTCTGCACGAAAGCGGAGTTTTACAAATTCATAGATAATACAAGGAGTTCGTGGAACATCCTAACAGATATAATGATGGATTCATGGAAGGAGCGATTAATTGAAAGACTAAAAGGTTACAGCATAGAAAAAGAGTAATATTTCGTTAGAGGTGCTACAGTGCACAGTTTAATTCTAAAGAACAATAAGGAGAATCAGACAAATAGGTAACTTTTGACACGGAGGAGGATGTTTATGCGAGCATGTTCACTTGAATTATGTTATACATTGTGAGATTTTATTGTACGTACCACGTGAATGTATTAAAAATTTCCCCTTACCTGTTGATGGATCGATAAAATGGGCTAGCATAATTACTGTAACGGCTGAACTCCCACATGAGTACTTATATGAAAAAAAGAAAAAAAAATTGCTTATATTTGTAAAAAAAAAAAAAAAACGACAACGGTTTAGAAGGAGCATCAAATTAGTGTACTTTCCTTTTTATCTAAATTGTGTATTAATGAGACTACAGATGTATGTGGTGCACGAATTTGCTTTCGTGAACTTTTTTTTTTTTTTTTTGCACTTTTTTTATACATAACGCTGCCTTATAAAGTCTTGCTCTTGAGTTTTTAAGTAAATCCCCTGTTAAATTTAGAAAAAAGAAAAAAACGCATCTATTTTTTTCCTTAATTTTTCCGAACTGTTAGAGAAGCGAGGATTCAGATATGACATGGAAAGAATGATTATTTCTTCTTTGATAACTACTCAAAGGGAGATGCTTAACAGAAGCAGTTGTTGGCAGAGGCGTTTCTTAACAGAAGCATTTGTTGGCAGAGGCGTTTCTTAACAGAAGCAGTTGTTGGCAGTGGCGGCTCTTAACAGAAGCAGTTGTTGGCAGCGGTGGATCTTAACAGTTTTGGGGACGATATACTACTGTTTAGAATCTTTCGCTTGTTACTCGTCTTCTTGGAGTCCTTTATAGAATAGAGAAAGAAGTCATACATTTGTGCATGTATAAATATGGCACAAAGTTTTACCCCTCCTCGGAAACTATTATAGATCTAAACAAATAATGAATTATAAGAACACACCGTTTAATAGAAATAATGAGAATTACCGCGAGAAGAAATGCATATAGAAGAAAACAAAAAAATTAATATAACCTGCCCCTACAGGATAATTGAAGCAACTGTATATATGCAGTGAAAATAAAACAAATGAGTAGAAGTTATTCAATGATTAGAACCTTCTTTGTGCCTGCTCTTTGTAGAAATCTACATGTACATGTATATTTTACACCCTTACTGGTTGGCTTAACATGTGTAAGAAATGTGCAAATATTGTTATTTGGGTTGGTAGAATAATTTGTCCGTTCGTCCGTTTGTTCCTTCAGTTAGGACGTTTTCAGCGCGCTAACTTTGCAAGATTTTTTTTCTTTTCTCATTAGTTACTGTTACAGGCAAATATACCATTTCTACGCGTGGTGTATGATTACAGCAAAAAGTCTATTGCTTAAGAATAGAAACAAATAACATTTAATTATTTTCTCTTTTTTTAAAACATGGAACATAGTGTGTGGGGTCATATGCTTGCCATTTAATGACAATGTTAATATAAAAATGGGAGGGGAAAAAAAAAACTACCTGTAGAATGCATCCATAGAATTACTACAATGAGCTTTATGCGAATTATTCTATCTGATCGCAGCCGAGAAAGCGCTACTATATTTGTGCTGGATTACATAACTACATTACACGTGAAAAGCTTTCATCTTTTTTTTTTAATTTTATTTTTTGGGAACTAATATAATAAAAAAGTTATATGTTTAACTTTGTGGTGTGTAACAGAAGCTTCTTAAAATGGCACACAAAAATAGCTAACATTTTGATCGAAGTTGTAACTTGCTAATGAAGTGAATTCGTTTTGAGTGAATTCGCATAAATGAGTTAATGGATTAGAAGAAATTATGAAATGATCCAGACGATGTACTAGCAATTCTACAAATTAAGGTGAAGAATAGCCCTGAAACGTTGAAACTCCAAGGGTGTGAACCTTCCCGTTTCGCTGCTATTTTGTCCTGACTTTATTTTGTTGAATAACTGGTTCGCTTTATCGAAATAGCTAGAGAAAAAAAGGAAGGTTAAAATTTTTTTTTTAAATTTAACCATTTAAAATTGTTAATGATTTTGTTTTAAAGATGGTTTGTTCCTTGATTGGTTGATTGATTTATTGTTTGATTGATTTGATGTTTGACTGATTTATTGTTTGACTCATTAATTAAAAAAAGAATTTTATTAAGTTCAATAAATTTCAATTTAAATAAATTCCTTGCACAACTGCAACGTTTTTTAAAATTAAATTTTTCTGACATTCTAATTAATCAGCCACCTCGTTTTATTACCTCTTCAGCCTTCAGTGCATTAATCTAATATATATAGATATTACCGCCCTGTGTTTCCTTAACTCTTATTAGGAGAAACGAACCATGCATTTTAAAAAGTATACTCTTTTATTATTGAACAGAGGCTTTTATCAACTCCCAAAAGCGACACTTAGAATAAGAGGCTTTAACTCCTTCGTTATGGCAGCAAGAAATATGAAGAATTCCAACAATTGCTCCGGACGTTTAATGGAGCAAGAAGGAAAGCAAAGTAGAGGTTTCGGTAGAGTTGCAACCTCTAAGGTTTTTGTTGTATTCGTCATTTCTCTAGTCTGCTTCTTTTTCAAGGTATAGCGAAAAATTGAAAATTTTAAAAGAGTCCACGTTTTTTCTCTTTCTTTATATCTGCATATATCTTTCGCTTATATATGCTGAGTTTATTTTCTGTGGGAGGGGTAAATGTTGCCTGAGGGATTTTTAAAGAAACATGTGTGTTATATATCCTCTGCTTTTTAGAACACCCTCATCGTCGAAAATGAAAAGGAAGTTAATGTATTGCAAGTGCACAATCCTCTTTCAAGAAAGTTGGGTGAGTCTTCCTTGAGAGGCTCAATGAACGATGATTCCGCAGACTCTTCTGCCTCTGAGAAAAAGCAGAAGAGATACTTCCAAAAAAAATACGAAAATTATGATAAAGTTGTACAGGAGTTAAATGAAAAATTCAAGAACGAGAACGAAAGGAACGAATCCGAAAACGACGAATGATTACATTTTGCAAGTTTTCGCCAATTTAGTGTAGAAAGTGTAGACTACACGTGGAATGAGATATTAACCCAGGAGTAGGCTGGACTAGATGATGGAAGGATTGAAGAAAATGCAAAAGGACTGAATCATACTGCCATTTAAAGAATCTTGTGAAAACGTAAGTTGCTTTTCTGCAATAAATCTCCTATAAAAAGTGAAGAATCGTGAACCAAGATGTTCCGAACTAGGAAGAAAGGAAATATTTGGGTAACGAACAGCAACTGTTGTAGAGTAGAAAGAAGCTAAACTATAACAATACGAACGTTACACTATCATACATTGCATTCCGTCCCCCTGCCTAAACTACGATTATTTGGGCATACGCACACCATATTTACGAAAGGATTGTACATGTACCTTCTTGAAACAATTTTAATTTATAAAAAAAGACAGAAACTGTTTGCACACAAAGCAGCCTGGTAACTTATAATGCGCCATCCAAATCTTTAAGGATTCGAATTTTCTCAACAGAGTTTCAACAGACTTTAGAACATCATTTCTCCTGGATTTGTTGCTTCACGCCCCATGAAATGATTCAGGCAAGTACCTGCATTGGGCGTGTATTAGAGCTTTCCCGTTATTAATATTTAATTTCGTTTCTTTTATTTTTTCTTATGTTTAAGAACGTGTTAAAATATTTAAGAAATTTATATCGAAGGTGAAAATAAATTTTAATAAGATGAACTGCATTTAGACAAAAAAGATAAAATAAAAAGAATTATCTTTTGTGCCGTTTTCTTTTAAGTTCTTAATATGTCTAAATCATTCATGGGTGCCTCTGGAAGGCAGTTATTTCGTTGCAAGTAAAAACATTTTATCATGTTTACCTATTTACTCTTACATCGAATAAATTTACGCAAAGTGTTAAAACGATTTGATGCAGAGGAGCGATAAATGTCTTCCGTTTCGATTATATTAGGAAAATATACTGTTACCATTAAGCGAGTGAAATGTCGAACTAGGTTAATGAATCTACCTTTTTTATTTGAAGCATATTTCGAAAAGGTATGAATGATATACCATGTGCATTACTCTTAGTATACTTTTAGCACAGGGAACATTTGCGTTATATGTGTTTAAAAGTAGAAAATGTAATTTTTTTCGGGCATGCCATTCGTGTATACAGTTATGAGGTAAAAAAGAAGGAAAAATATCGGCATAATAGATATATCAGATTCCATGTGGAGTTGGCCATTTGTGCGAGCACACTTAATTCTTATCTTTTGTAACGAATTTTACACCCCTTTGAAGTGCATAATCTGTTAAAAACGCGTCCTTTTAGATATCCTGAAATGTTCTTACGTTTTCACCCCTACAGCACGTTCATTCATAATTTTTTTATTAGTGGTTAAATTTAATGCATTTCTGAGAGTCCTTCAAAATAGTTTAAAGAACTGAGCAGGTTTTCCCATAAGGTTCACTTTATTATGCATACGAACAGTTACGTTTCGCGACTGAGCTATGTGCCTAATAACATTCTAAATGATGACTGCAAAAATTCCGAATCAGAATATATGCAAAAACCGTAAAACTACTATGTTGAAAAGTTTAAAGCTATAATAACGAAAGAACGATAGAGTTTGCGTCCTCTTTACTATATGGCATCCTGAGATGTCTCAACCAAATGGACATTTTGCATGAAACAAGGAAAGGAGATGTGTAGATGTGTACCGGGCGAATATTTATGTAGACATATCTTCACATGTGCTGTGATGCAGAAATAATACTCGAGGCGGATATTACTTAAAAAATGAAGAACTTGGGAAGGAAAGGCCAAAGTATGTATGTATGCATGGAAAACGTTTAAGCGGCTATGAGACTCGTAGAAAAATGGAATTCTTCCATTCTCTGTATGGGGAAAAGGGAGGTTAAGAATAGGGACATTTTTCATCCTTTTTAAGAGAAACGTAGTTCATTTTACGCACTTTTGAATAATGAGGAGAAGGTTCTTTCTTAGTAACAAGCTTCGAACTATGAAATCCACTTTTGCGAGTAGATGGGAAGAAGATGGGAGGGAAAAAGAATAAATTTAGAATAATTCACATATTCATTTGGGGACTCCTTGCTTGCTTGAAATTCCGCGGAAGGGCAAACTTCATGTCACGGTGGTTAGGTACGCCAGAAGGCTGTTAACACGTACGTCTTCAAAGAGAGCATTATGTGGAAAGTCATTAATATTAATAGCCAAAATGGGCATAGTCCAATGAAGATATTATCGGAGAACGTTCACAATTCCTATTCATCTTATTGTTAAATTGGTGTACTATGGGGTACCATGCCTTAAATGTGGAAATGTTATGGTAGAATTGCAATAACGCGTATCCTGTTCAAATTCTTAGTAGTACACATATTACGATTTATATTGTCACTTTTGGGAAATGTAAAAGTCACAAAACGTATTTTCAAGTTGCTATTAAGCGGAGAAAGAAACTTTTAGATTAGTATAATTTCTTTTTAGAAAAAAATTACAGACTGATGAAAATATGGTGTATACACATAATGCAAATGTGGCGTAATTCGTGTACAATAAATGGAGTGTGCAAATAGGTATTATAAATTTTAGAATTCTTTTGGCTTTTTTTGTTTTTTTGCAAAAATTTGACATTATTATTGTACTTTAACGATGATTAGTAATGCACATGCATATATACATGTACATAACTATGTATATTAATATGTATATATAATATGTATAGAAATAGGTTTAGAAATATGTATATATAATATGTATATATAATATGTATAGAAATAGGTTTAGAAATATCTATATATAATATGTATATATCTATATGCGCATATTTACATGTATATATATTTACACAGTTAAAAAGAGAAAGATCAAAAATTGTGCTTTGAGCACGATAACTGTTTTCACTTGCTAAAAAAGGTTAAACGCACGTTTTCTCCCTGAGCCATTTCGGGTGCAGTCTGTTCTTTGTTAACGTTTTTTTAATTTTCGCCACTGTGTTAATTTTTCATTTTTTTTTTTGAAAAAAAATTATTAAGGTAATTCGCATAGTTGTCGAATAAATGTCTATACATTTTCACATTTATTAATATCTTTTGATTTACAGATTTTACCATTTCTGTAATTGTTTTTGTAAATTATATTTCCCCATCCGGAAAAGAAAAAAAAGTGTATATTTCTTATTTTTTACACATTTCTATCGTGTGAAAATTTGCAAAATGCCCAACAGACAGAAAAAAATAGAAAAAACTGAATTAGTGAATAAATATTATTTTCTTTTGATGGGAACGCATTATAAAAAACTACAAATTTTAGGACAAGCCATATGAGAAGAATAAAGAAATACCATAAGAGAGAAAAAATAAATATTTTTCTCTTTTTTATAAAAACAACTTTTTTTTTGTTATACTTTTGATACTAAATTTTTCTAACCATGTAAGGCAATAGGATAGGAATGCGTAATTGTGTGTACCGGCTCCTTTTCGTCGGATTGTATGCACATTTTGACGATTCTTTTATCTATTCCATTTTTTTTTCCCTATTTTGTTATATTTTCCCATTTCTCAGAGAAAATATGGTGAAAGGCGTGATGAGAAAAATAACACTGGTGACACATTTGACTTACGGACCAGGCCTCTAGCAGTAAAATATACTAAGTCTAAGAAAACTTCCGTGTTTAAAACTCGTATAGTAGAAGAATTTACACCTGCTGGAATTAAGAAGTATAGTGAAAATTATGAATCGAAACATTTTAAACTTAAGGAGACCGTAAACAATGGGGAAAGGAACTGCGATGAAAAATATGAAGGATCACAATATGGGTTCAAGGAGTCCACTCCCTATGAAATGCCTATGGAAGGGGGTTACCAAGGACCAAATCGGACTAAATTAAGACATAATTTCCCTATGAGACTGAATTTTTCTGATGATGGTGACCATGATGAAAGTTCAATTTCGCTGATGGATACGCTGCCAGCTTCATTAAGAGTATGTGAGAAAATGATTTACACCCCAAAGAAAAACCTTCGAAAGAAGTCAAGAGACGAGGTAAAGAAGAAAGAACAGTTAGAATATTCACTAAGGAATAGCATCTCTAACGGATTAAAGTTATGTCAGAAGGGTGAAGAAGGGGAGGGTTACAAATTAAAAAATGAGGTACCAGAGGGGTTAAAAGAGGGTCGAAGGAGTGAAGATTCACAACATGATGAACTGAAGAACATTCCAAGGGGAAGACTAAGGGACATAGAAAGGCGAGAGGATTTAAAGGAGAATGGAATAAAAAACAAACCCGAAGAGGGATTGAAAGAGGGTAAAAAGGGGGAGGACTAACAGGAAATTGTACTACGAAACAAACCAAAAGGGGTACTACGAGGGGCTCAAGAAAGGGAGGAATCATTACGAACTGATCTAAAAAACAAGCCAAAAGGAGGTCTAAGAGAGATAAAAAGGCCAGGGGATTCACAAGAAACTTCACTAAAAGATAAGGCAGAAGGAGAACTAAGTGATGATCAAAACATAAGCCATTTGAGTAATACTACCACAAAAGATACACCTCAAGATATGCCAGGGAATGTAGAAATAGACCATCCGACTGACGCCTCGACAACGCTTACACTTTCCACTACGAAGGATAGTAACGAAATAGACAATCCAACTGAAGTCTCTACAAAACTTACACTTCCTACTATGAAGGATAGTAACGAAATAGGCGAGCCAAATGACGGCTCTACAACACCTACACTTCTCACTACGAAGGATAGTAACGAAATAGACCAACCAACTGACACCTCTACAGGGCTTACACATCCCACTACGAAGGATAGTAAAGAAATACACCAACCAACTGACACCTCTACAGGGCTTACACATCCCACTACGAAGGATAATATTAAAGAAATAGACAGGTCCGATGAAAATGGCACCAAATATAAATACCCTACTATGACGGATTTAACAGGAGGAGCCAAAGCGTCGAACACTACCCCACATAATAAGTAAGAATATGTAAAAGGCTTATTTCAATTATTTAATTCGTCAGACCCTTTGACAAGTGATAAAGCTACTACAAGTACAGAGAAAAAGGTGGAGTCAACAAACAATTCCAGGAGGGATAACTATCCGGATAAACTGAAAGGAAATGAAGAGAAGGATACCATACCAAATACAGAAACATATCTCATAGGTCCAGCTTCAAATAATGAACAGAGAACTAAAAATCTATACCCCTTTGCCTCAGCCGTTAGCGATTCTCGAGTAGTAAGCAGAATTGATGATAAAAAAGACAAATCGTTGAATATTGGAACTGAGGACACCCACCTCGATGTGTTAAAAGAGCATGATAAGAATAACGTAGAAGAAGACGCAGCAGGAAATGCTGAAACCCCAAATGACCTAACAGAATCTGAAAAGAAAGATGAAAACCCAAGTGGTTCCGGGAAACATGCGCAACCTGATGTGGGGAAACCTGATCCCAAAGACGCAATTGATCATGCGATGTCAAAGTACCTACATCAAAAGGAAAGCGGAAGTGAAAAGAACAATCATTCTGCGTCTGCGTCGTGGAAATACACGGACCCTAAGGAGAAGGAGTCTGAAGAGATGGATCAAAAATCAAATACTACTTTGAAGCATCCATCTCCTCATTTTAATGTATATGAAAGTGAATCAGCGGGAACAGATGCTGAGTCAAATGACAGTTCTCATATTACATTAGAAGAGGAAACTATGGAAAAACCTGCACCTACTATCTCTTCAATTGATAAATATCCTGTTATAGAAGAACCTGAAAAATTGAAGTACGAACACGAGCGAGAAGATCAAGGCGGACATGGAGCATCGAAAGGTCGTTACCAGAATAGACTAAGTGATTATGCAAGAGGTGAAAGAAGGAAAGGGGAGGCACCAAGAGATAGATATCGCCCTAGGGTAAATGATTATGGGGAAGACACAAACCAAGCTAAGTGTGCTCAACCAGAAGATAAGCACAGCCACAGGATAAACGCTTATGAGAAACAGGAAAAGGACCAGGACGGTCGGTATGAAGAACCAACAGGTAAATACCGACATAGATTAAATGATTGCAAAAAAGAGCATGGGGAGGAAAAAGACACATATGGATTTGAGGAGTCAACAAATGATTACCACCATATGTTAAATGATTATCACAAGGAACATAAAGGGGAAGAGAACACGAAAAAATGTGAACCGCCAAGAGATCACTATGACTCCAGATTGGATGATTATGAGAAACATCATGAAGAAGATGAAAGAGAACAAAGGTATGAAGAATCGATAGAGAGACATCCCGATGGGTTAGCAGATTATGAAGGGAGAGAAAATGTAGAGGCAGAAACTGTAGAGGGGGGTCTTGAAAAGGGAAAACTGGAAGATGAATTTGGAGAATCGACAAATGATTCTGAACCTGAAAGTCCTTCAAATGGTTTAGAAGATGCTGAAAAGGCAAAGGATAAAGCAGAAGAGAGTCAAACTAAACTTAATGTCCTATCGACAAATAAGGAACAGACCAAAGGAGCGGATTCAAAAAGAGGAACATCTTATAAGAAAAATTCAAAAGGGGAATCAGGTAGTTCAAAGGAATCCTCCGCAGAAAAGTCCCATAAGAAGGTACATACGAGAAGTTCAAATTCGTCATCCAATAAAAGAGATCAAAATAATAAGAATAACGACAAAAAAAAGACAAAAACAAGGAAGAAAAGGAGGATAGAAAAGACGACCAAAAGAAGGAAAGAAGAAGCGACGTATCTAAGAAAAAATGGAAAAAGGAACCACGGAGAAAAAAAAGCATTATATGTGCAAGATAATTCCCAACTGAAAAATTATGAAGAAGGGACTCCAAGAAGAGATGACTTAGATTCAGAAGTGTTGGAAAGAAATCGACAACAATCAGAAAATAAAGATACGCGCAAAGGGGGAAAAAGGAAAACAAAGAAAACGGATACATCGAAGAATACCAATCCATAGTATGATTGAAATAGTGAATCTAAGATCGAGTCGTGCCGTGAATTTAACAATCAATCGAACAGTCAAGCAAACAGGGAGCTGAAAAGTGAATAGAAGTGTCAATCGAAGAGTGAATCAGACACTGAATCAAATATTAAATTGAAGAATGAATCGAAGAATGGATCCGGAAAAAAAGCAAAAGGAGAAAGAAATATAATAATAGAAAGACAAGAAAATCGGAAATTGCAAGAGCCGTGAAATACTTATCAGACTGTGCAGATTTTGATGAATCTGCGGAAGGAGGATTAAAAAAGCAGAAATCTTCTAATAAGAATTCAAATAATAAAGAATCAGGCAGTAAGCAAAATGATAAGTCAGATTATGCCGAAGGAAAGAAAAAGAGCTCAAGTAGTAGAGAAAAATTTAAGATGGATGACATAGAAATAAGTTTATAAGATTACAATACCTGTTCTGGATCAACAAATGTGGATTTAGAATGTAATAACATCGAACGCGCTGAAACAGAAGATGAAAACGCAGAAAGTTTAAACACAGAAAACAAAGAGTTGAAACGCCCCGGAAAAGCAAAGCTAGAAATTAGAATGAACCAAAAAGAAGCTTGCCCAATAAGTGAATACGCAGGCGAGTGCATACTTTCAAATTGTTGATTCAGAAATTGCAATACAAGGAAAAAATAGAGGAACTAAATCGGAAAAACAGAGGTATTGTCAAAAGAATTTGCGAAAAAGATAATTAGGCGAAAGATTCAATAAAGTGTAAAGAGAGGATAAAATTTAATTCGGCCTTTGAGCTACAGCCTAAGGTCGGGTAGTACTACATTGATTTGTATAACTAGAATGTCAATTGTTCATTCTTTTACAGTACGCGATAATTTTAATTACTATTCGATTGTTTGTAGAGGTTTGAAAATAGACCGTATGAAGTGAAGATTTTTTATCTGGTATGTAGTGAAAAAAGCAAAAAAAAAAAAAAAAAATTCCAATTAAAAGATTAATGGTAGCTAAGTTCGCTTCGGGACATTTTAAAAGATTCTTGCTGTTTCTCGTATGTGCCTTTGCATAACATCCTTATTCAACCCTCAGTCTTTGCACAATAAATATATGTACGCAGAAGTTTATCATTTATGTTGTATCACATTATTTGATTTTTGCATGTCCTTCATCCCTTGTTTTTTTTCTTTTTATATAGCTCAATATTATGTCTTAATGAAAGTCCTTCGCTTGCTCTTTGCCAAACCTCTTTTCTTGGTATGGTACAATTATTAGAAATATTTTTAATTCGGCATTCACCTTCCACATATGTATAGATGTGCGTCTGTGTTATTCATCTGTCACATCTTGTAAGTCATGAACTCGGGAAATTTTCAACGAGTTCCGTTGAATTGGTTAGTCATTTAAAATTTCTAATGTTTTATAAAAAATTTGATATCTAAGCCGTAAGGCGTTATTCCACCATCCAATTAGGACAAGTTGACATTCACTTCCCATAGAAGTTAAGGTGTCCCTATTTTGGTGTTAAAAGCGTGACAATGAACGAATATATATGTATATATATATTTCTTTCAATTTCTCGTGCAATGATCCGTTTCCATGCTAGGGATACATATGCCCCAATGTTCCTGTTTATTGTACTTCGCAAAATTTGCAATTAAGTCTATTCCGCGGAAGAAATATTGATCATGAATTTTTACTTTGTTTACACGCATTAAGAATCGAGGCAACAGGATCTAATAACATTTTCTTGAATTAATTATTTATAAAATGACCTGTTAAATAATATATTATGGGCTTCATAATTGATGCCAAGAGTTTTTCTATTCTGTTTATTTTGTGCCGCCTTATAAGTGGTCTCCGTTGCTGGTATTCATTTCAGGGATTTATTTTATTGCACACACATGTGCGATTGGCTTCAACGGAAATGGGAAGTGTGCATATACATCGTTCAGCCCAAGGTTGACATTAGGGAAACACTGATTACAAAAACTGGCATAAAATTGACCTAATAGCCTGCGGATATATAAAAGTAGGTGTATGTTTCCTATTAACACATTAAAGCTAGATGGTTACTGAAATGAGAGTGAAAAGTTTGTTAAGAGAAGTCCTTTTTCAAGCTGAGAAACATTACATATGATGCTATTCTCCGACTTATGGTTTCATTTTTCCTTTACTAGAAAAATATTGTAAAACGCACAGTATAAGCTGAGAATAATATTGGAGAATTAACGTTTTATTTATTCTCTTTTCAAAAGTAATTAATTTATACTAGGGCCATTTGAATCTCCTGATTCACCATTCACTTTTTTTAATTGTACTGCTATCTTTGTTTATTACTATTTTTCCCTATTCAGATAGAAGTATGCAGGAGAATTCTACTTTTTTGAAATAATTAATTTGTGTTTATCTGTAAGAATTTATTAAACAAACTATTGTACATTAGTTTATGATTTTTTTATCTATTTTCTTTTCTTGTTTTTTGTCTTTTTCTTTCTCCTTCTTCATATTCCTTGATTTTAAATGTGACTGTTTTCTTTTAACTAAGACAGTTTTTCTTACGATTAAGAAATTAGTGAATTTTCGTAAATAAAATATCCATGTATGTATAATGATGGAACTACATTTCTACCCAGTACTATTTAGGGACGTAATAACAACGGGGAGTCATGTTTTTCTTACTTGGTATTCGTCCAATGCTAATTATTGAATATACAATAGGAATGATTAATTTTATAAATATAATACTTTTTTTTTTCTTTTTAAAATAATATTGAGTATCGAAGAGATCCTAGAAAGGAAAAAAAAGATATAAACATCATATACAAGTAGAATTCAATAGGGACTGTTTTATTTTACTTTCCTCATCTCTAGAAATATGTTTTAAATAATGAAAAATTTAGAAAAAATTAATCCAAAGACAAGTTACACAGGGTTGATTGCAAATGTATTAGGAGAGGAGTCAGCTTTCAAATAGAACAATTAATATGAGAAATGTCACCATTGCATTAATAAGACATTTTAAGAAGAAACAAATAAACATCTTCTTGCTACTTCGTCTAGCTTGCCACTTCTGCTGTGGCCATCTGGTTGTGTGTGCGCACCAGTACAGAGGTACAATAATGCAGAAAGATTCATAAAAGTCTAGTACATTTGTGTTTTTTCATTATTTTTTTTGAAAAGAAATTTCATTAAAATGAAAATACAGGTCTTTTCCAATTACAAACTTCTATTTACGTTTTAGGCTTTTTCGAAATACGTCTCCAGCAGAAATAATGACATTACAAGCCCCTTTCTGGACAGATTCAACAAACATTTAAGACAATTGTTTAATCACGCACGAATATTTCACTGGTTCAATCAGCAATTATCAAAGGAGACTGAGGAGGAAAATAGAGCGGAGATTAACATGGAGGATGATATAAATTCATATGTGCAAAGATTCGATTTGATTCACGATACTGAACTTGATGAATACTTCAGAAATCGTATTAAGAAGTCCTACTTAACATTTGATCAAAGAAAGTTATTTAGAAAGTGGCATGGGAGATATATGACAAAAAGGCTAAAGGAACTTATAGCACCGGTGTGTTCCGGCATCCTCATTATGTAAGTTCCACTTCTCTGTTTAGGAGACCGGTCTATTTCGGCTCCGTCTCTCTTGGGTTTCCCAGGCGGTTTACCTCTTATGGAGATGTTTAATAGAATTCTATGAGAAAAAATCTTGTAGAGATCA